GCGGTCCCCTAGGGGACGGCCCGGCCCGGCGGCCGGACTCCGGCCTGGAGGCCCCTGCTGGCTGGTCAGTGCGGTCTCGCGGCCCAGCGAGCGGCGTGTGTCTCCCGCCAAGCCTCCCCCTGGCGTGAATTTACCGGCGGGTTTCAGACGTGCACGTCGCGGGGCTGTTCGCGCCCCCACCCCAGGCTGCTGTGAAGTTCAGGCACAAAACTAAAGGGAAACACTCTGATGTACTCATTTGGCCGCGTGTGAACCTCAGGTTTTCGATTCTAATCAAGAAAATGATTTGCTGTGGGAAGAGACGTTTCCTGAAAGAACAACCGTTACTGAATCACCCCAGGTAAGAATCCTTTTTAAATGTCTTTAGGGTGTAATATAAATGAATGCTGCTTGCAGGATTTTACTTGAATAATAGTTGTAGATCACCCTGAGGTGACCTCTACCAGGTGGGGAAGGTGGGGGGCCCAGCAGGCTGCAGTAGTGGTGTTTTTAAAGGCCCAGTGCTAATGGCCAAGAGGTGTGGGGGGGTGCTTCTGCCCCAGTTTTCAACGCAGTTCTCCAGTTAATGATTCCTCCAGCTCCACTCACTCTGGAGTCAGCCCGTCGTGGGGGCTCAGCCGCCTTTTTCCCCCAGTAATCTTCAAAGCAGATCCCCCAAGCTACAGTAGGCGGGGCAGGCACTGAGCCTCTCTGAAGCCACCACACACTGGAGTCCAGCCGGCGGGTGCCCCTCTTGTGGTGGTGGGATAAACGCAGTGTGTCCCCTGGGAAGAGGCTAGGAGAATTCCCCCATGTAAATACGCGGCCTTAACATGATTTTTGGGAAATGGCTCTCCTTTCCTGTGACTTTTTTAGATGTCACCCAGAAGAATTACTAGAATGTAGAGAAGATTGACTTAAATGGTGGGAGAAAAGTTTTGAGGTCAGGAATTACGTAAATATGGACTCTAAAAACTGCCCTACCTCAGTTACCCGCAGGAGACACTTACAAGGTGTCTTTTAAGACAGTTGGAAAGTTTCATTTTGATACCATTGTCAGTAGTTTTCCTTCTAATGATGATCATGAAAATAGTACAGTGACTCTTCACATAAAACAACCAAAGCAGTGAACTCTGCCCTCCACCTGCATCTTTCCCAACTACACAAAATTCTTACCTCCCAGAGATAGTCACAGCCAGCAGTGAGGTTCCTTTCGGGTTCTTGCACTGTGCGTGTAGTGTATTTTCAGTGTTATTTATCATTACAATCCATAAGATGTTGGCTTTTCTGTGATCATGAGTGTTAGCTGGTAAAACTGTAAACTGAACATATTTTCTTGCTACTCTCTGCTAACTTTTGTGCTTATTGTTTTCTGAAAGACTCCACATATATCATTCTCCGAACCTGATACTCCATTCTCAGAAAATACTGAATTACCTGTGGACTGGAGTATTAAAACGCGACTCCTTTTCACCTCTTCTCAACCCTTTACTTGGGCAGATCATTTGAAAGCCCAAGAAGAGGCCCAAGGTCTTGTCCAGCACTGTCGGGCAACAGTGGTTACTCTGCCTCAAAGTATACAGGTATTTCTATTAAAAAATTGCTATGTTTTTAAGTAATATGTGTGTCAGCAGTGTATCAGAGATATTTCTGTCCATTAAGTTTATGTTCTGACATAGAAAGACACAAAGTCTTGGAAAGTTTTGTATTTCCCAAATGGTGCAGGCTCACAAAAGTTTTTGGTTGTTATCAGATTCAGTTATTGCCCATTAAAATCCTGAGATTTAGTGCATGTTGCAGGCATTGTTTACTAAAGCCTTTTGAGAATAAAATACAAGGAAAAGGAATGGGAAGCAATTGCAAAGCTGATTGGTTATTTCACTCATCCTCCTTTTTTTTTAAATTATTACATTTGTTGTCGGACAGCTTCTGAGTCAGCTTATCCGAAATGGCTTTGATGGGTCCTTAAGGTCTCACGAGGCTACAAAGTATCCAAAGCATCCGCCAGGGCTGTGGCCTCATCTGATGCTTGACCAGGGAAGACCCACATCCAACCTCACTGCTCTTGTTGACAAAGTTCAGTTCTTTGAGAACTTAAGTGCTGCCAGTTGGAAGCCATCACAGTCATTACCATATGGGGTTTTCCAAAAATGAGCATTTGGCTTCCTCCAAGCACAGGTTGGATGAATATGCTAGAATGACAGAAAGGACTCTGGAAGCCTGTTTACTCACTAGGCTGCCCGTGCACTGCAGGCTGCGAATCAGCCAGATCAAAGAGAGCACACTGCTGAGGTGTGGGGAGAGGCGCGGAGCTCGTGTCCCTTCTTCAGCTGCCACTCTAACCCACAGCTTCCAGTGTTCAACCTGGAAACTCCTGTTTTATTGATTTCCTTATACAGTAGAGGCTGAGTTTGTTTAGTTTTAATGCACTAATTGCTGCCTAGGTTGTAAATTTATTAGTTACTGAGTTCTAAAATAAATTTAAAGAAATGTTATTGCACTCCTTTCAAGCAACTTACCAACTCAAATGAGGTTGAAAGGGATTACTCAGAAAGGCCTTGGTACATCTTTGTCAAGAAATACTGCTCAGAGCAACTTGTGGATTCACATGGGTTTTTCCTGACTGCTTTTGAAGCAGCATTATGAAGGGAGGAGCAGTAGAACAGTGTTACCCCTCAACACCTAACACACAAACACTCACCTGCATGGTAAGAGTCATTTAGTGACGTAGAAGTCTATTCCATCTGTGTTCGAGTGTTCCTTTTGATTGAAACCTGGCTTAATAGACTGTGATGAGAGATTTTCACAGATAAGAATAAACATTGCTTTAACCCCTGTAGCAATTATTAACACTTTGCTATACAGGAAGCATTAATGATTTTGCAACTAAGTGTGTATGTATTTAGTGCTAAGTGAAATTTTATACTTGTACTAGGGCAAAAGTAACGCCTGCTCTCATCCCTGGATTTTAGGATCCCAAACTATCCACTGAACTCCGATGTGCCTTCCAGCAGAGCCTCATCTACTGGATTCACCCTTCCTTTCCTTGGCTACCCCTGTTTCCTCGTATTGGAGCTGATAGAAAAATGGTTGGAAAGACAAGCCCTTGGGCAAATGATGAAACCCTGCAGCATGATTTAATGAGTGACTGGTATGAGTGTGAAAAACTTATGTAATGCAGTAATTTCATTTTAGCTTTTTCCCCCCATTATTTTATTTGAGATGTGGAAATGTGTAGTAGCACAGGGTCTCTGTGTCCTTCTGAATTATGTTACCTAAATTGCTAATAACCAGAAGTGAAATTGTTGACTTTGCCAGCTGTTGCTTGCTTTTATGCATGAAAGTATATGTACACATAATTCTTTGAAGTTCTTGTCAGTGGCTCTTGTCTCAGAAATTGCCCAGAAAAAAGTCAGCATGAATTATCAATTAAATTTTGTTTAAAGAAACAGTGATGTTTCAGTTGTAGATACGTTAAGTATTCAAAAGTCCTTAGTTTCATGACAATTTCATCCCTTGAAGGCCAAGTTGTATATAATAAAACCGTTAATATTTATGTTGTTTTAAAGCACATAGCTGAATAACAAACTGAATTAAACAAATTTACATCTTAGATATTGAGTGAAATGTTTAATATCATCTAAAGAAAAGTTTTTTGCTTCATAGGTCTGTGAGCTTTACTTCTCTGTATAATCTGCTGAAGACAAGACTTTGCCCCTATTTCTACGTCTGTACATACCAGTTCACTGTCCTGTTCCGTGCAGCAGGATTAGCAGGAAATGATGTAATCACCGCTCTCATCTCACCTACAACTAGAGGTATAAGAGAAGCTATGAAAAATGAAGGTAAAGCAATAGGTTTATAGGTTTATTTTTTCAAAGATTTTATTTACTTATGCACACAGAACTGGGGTACAGGCCAGAGGTGAGGGGCGGTGAGAGGATTCACCACAGACAGAGTGGGGGGCAGAACAGGCAGGTCAAGGAAGTACACTGCTGAGGGGAACAGCTGGCGGGTCAGGAGAGGTCTGCCGCGCCCTGTGGGTCACCTCCGAGGCGGGGTATTGAACTGTCACTGATGCGGCTGCAGCCAGCTTGCAAAGCCACGCTTTAACGGGTTGCACCACCAGGGAGGGCCGTAAACCAAAAGGTTTAAAGTGAGAACACTATATAGAAAACACTTTCCTTCAAAGAGAAAATTTTTATTCTTTCACCATTTTTACTTTTATTATTTTATTTAATTTTTTTTTGGGTGTCTAACTCAGTTTTACTTTTTTTTTATTACAAAGTTTATTTTTACATCATTTTGCACATTTTTTTTTTTTGCCATCTCGATTGTAATCCCCGCGGGTACTTTGATTATTTTAATCCTTTCATTCTGATTTTCTTCCTGCAGTTATTTAAGCTGTCCCTTATACTTAGTTTTAAACGAATGGTGGTTCTTTCTCTCATTTGTAAACAGTGGAAAATCACTATCTGAACATAGTCCTCTAGAAATTCTTTGATAATACAAATTATCTGTCCCCTTTTAAATAAACGATTTTCTAACTAGTTGGCTTATATTGGATCATAAAATTTCGTGAACTCAAAACAGCACTTCTTGAAAACTAACAAAAGTAGAATATACTTTATGAGAGTATCACAGGCTGTGAGAGTTTGTGTTGTTTCAAAGTGTGTGTCTGTACTTGCGTGTTACGGGTGGCTAATAGGAAAGCTTGAACACTATAGCTTTTGTTTTTCAAGTGTAAAAGTCACTCATTTTGAAATCCCTTACTCTCTGCAAGTAGGACACACCTGTTAAATTCTTTAAGGTTAAAAGCTCAGCTACTTTTTTCTTTTCTCATGAAGGTATTGAATTTTCTCTGCCTTTATTAAAAGAAAATGGCCATAAGGAAAAGAAAGCACCTGGAACAAGCTGGAAACACGGAGAGTATGTGATTCAAGTAATCTTTTACATCATCCATTGACGTATGAGTAGTAGTAGTTTGTAGAGGAAACAGCTTTGTGAAATGGAACTCTAACGATAGTAATTTCCTAGGGAGCAAGCACTTAGTGATGAAGATGAAGAAGAAAGCTTTTCCTGGCTGGAAGAGATGGGTGTGCAAGATAAAATTAAAAAACCAGACATACTCTCCATCAAGCTGTATCCTTTCAGTTCCACATGTTCAGTCCACATGTTGCGTGGCTCCGTCCAGTGTTGTCTCTCCTGGCTGACTCGTTCCATCCATGGTGACACAGGTGGCAGGAGTCAGATCCCATTGTATCTGAGCCTTATCTACCTGACCCCTCATCTGTATCTGGACATTCCTGTTGTCTCCACAGTAGGGTGTTGTAAACAGGGCTGCGGTGAACTTAGGAATATGTGTTTACCTTTAAGTTAGTGTTTTTGTATTTGGGTAGGTACCTAGAATTGCTGTTTTTCCACTATCTTTGAGGACCATCCCACTGGTTTCTGTACCTGGCCAGTCTACACTTCCAGCAGTGTAAGAGAGTCCTTTTTCTCCATGTCCTTACCAACAATTGTTGACAACTAGTTTTTGACAGGAGAAATTTTTGTTAGTTTTTCAATCAGTAAATTCATCAAAGAAATTGTTAATTTAAACGTGTTTTACAGTCGCAATGACGAGGTAGGTTGACGAGCATTTCCAGTTTGAAATGGAGGGGCAGGTGTCCCAGGAGACTCAGCTCAGTTGCTCTTCCTATTGGTGTGGGATTTGTATCCGCAGTTTCCTTGATTGTTACCTTCAGGCGAAAAGAGAAACATGAAGTGCAAATGGATCACAGACCTGAGTCGGTTGTGTTGGTGAAAGGGATGAACACGTTTACATTGCTGAATTTTTTGATCAACTGTAAAAGTTTAATTGCTACCTCGGGTGCACAGGCAGGACTCCCACCAACCCTCCTGTCCCCTGGAGCATTCCGAGGCGCCACAATGCAAATGCTTAAGGTAAGTATTCTAAGGAGGCTGACAGTTTTGAAGTACTTTTCTACTGTTATGTAAGATCAAATTTATTTTAGAACTCTTGGCATCTTCACTTGTAGCATAGTTTTGCTTTCCTGTGAAAATTCCGATGTATTATCAGAGGACTTAGATACTTGGATTATATGGAAACAGTTTCCCTTCAGTCACTTCCAAACAAGACACTTTTTCCTTTTGACAGATGCAAACTTTCCTTGTCTCTTTAATGAGCGAACATAGCCAGTAACGTAATGTGAATCTCAAAACCTGGATCATTAATCAATGAAGATTAACTTTACATCCATATTGCTAAGAAAAGTCTAAGTGGAACCAATTGTTTTTCCAATATTCTGCATGCTAAATGGGCAGCCCCTCACACTATTTGGAGAGGCTGCTGGAGAGAATTCAGTATCTTTGTATTTACGTAATCTTTTGATGTCTTAGGAAACTATTTTGTTCCTATTAGAGAGTAGAAAACCCAAATGAAACATTACTGAACATTTTAGCTAAGACATTATTTCCTCATTCATTTTATTTCGAAGGCAAGAAGTGTAAATGTGAAGACCCAAGCTCTTTCTGGATACAGAGACCAATTTAGTTTGGAAATTACAGGCCCAGTCATGCCTCATTCTCTACATTCTGTGGTGACATTACTCAGATCTTCACAAAATGGGTCATTTTCTGCAGGACTGTATACACATGAACCAACTGCTGTATTTAATATCAGCCCACCCGTAGATAAAGTTCTAAATAAGGTAAGTAAATGGTCATAAGCAGATTTAGTTCTAATGTCCTCAAACTATCTGGAAGAAATAGGTCTTAAAGAACTAAACTGTTACTGTCCCTTGTAATCAAGAGGAAGGGATATGTCTGTAAAGGACTGAGTCAATTTTATGAGCTAAGGATATAGTATTCAACAACAAAGAACTGCCAAAAGAAAAGCCACATCCTAATTTCATTGTCCTCTCAAATCCTTAACCCCTACCCCATTTTAAGTTATGGTTAATTTTTGAAATTTTCATTAAGACTGTAATTAATGCTGCCACAAAGCAGATATTCTTAGGGTCAGCTTCTTCTGATAAGCATTACTACCTCTTACCGTATTAAAAAAAAAAAAAGCCATTTTGCTGAAGTCCACATGGTAGTTATTAAAATCTGTTCAAATGCTTTATTGACTTGTAATACAAATTTTTACAGGAGACAGTTCATGAGGAGCTTGCCAGCTGTGGGTTGCACCCCAAGACACTAGATCAACTCAGTCAAATACCAACACTGGGAAAATCATCTTTACGACACGTGGAAATGAGTGACTACCGTTATAGTTGGAGACCCTGAACACCACAGTAAGCCTAAAAGGAATCTTTGAGGAAAAAAAGCCTTCTAAGCAAGGAAATTCAAGATTCTTACTCCTTTGGCTTTAAAGTTCATTTTGGAATTTAAAAAGAACAGAACTTTAAAGTATTCAAATGTTCATAAATCTTTGACATGCACTAAGCAATCGGTTATAAATTTTTAAACATTTTTACTATTTTTCAGATTAGAGCTAAAATAACTTTCCTTTGAAGCCTTCAAGTGCCTTGAAAATTCTACCTCCCTCTAGTGATAAACTGCACTAAAAATTGACTGTCAGCATTTCCTTGCAAATGGCAAGTTGAGGCTTGACCTAGTAGCAAGCACCTCATATTATCAGGGAGAACTATTTACCAGTTTTCCAATTATTAAAGGTTGTAGGTACTTCTAAACCTTGTTCCTTTCTTCTCGATATACTAAAATTTGGCTTTATACTTGCATGTTAATTTGGGTAAAGGTTTTTGCATTCTGTATAATAGTGCTGGGGTTAAAAGTATGCTCAGCTGTCACGGAAAAGTAAGCTTAAATGTTCCTGTAGGGGTGTGTGTCTCTGTGCGTGTGTGTGTGTGTGTGTGTGTGTGTGTGTGTGTGTGTGTATAATGTTCTTAAATAAAAGTGCTTAGAAATCTAAACATTGGGTAAAGAAGTAGTATCTAGTGAAAAAGTGTGTGTTCACTTTGTAATCAAAAAATAAACCACCACATTTATTCCAGAGAAGTTTATATTTGGGCCTTAAGCTTTTGAAAATAAAGTTTAGAGACATAGCATATGAATACCACTGTAATACACATGAAATTTTCTATTAGACCCTAAAAATTAACATAAACTTAAACTTTCTCATAGTCAACAAAATAGTGGCTGGGTGCCAATTTTATTAGATAAGTTGGTTACAGCATTTTAATTTTACGTCTATCTAGGTGTAGCTGAAATTCAAAATGCACATCAAAGTAGAACTATATCACAACTCAATGCCATACTAAATGTACTTGGCCTCTGCAGTAGAATTCTATTCGGACTTGATTTTAACTCCCTTCTCATGGCCCCAGTGGCTTTCACGGGAATGCAGGACTTAGTGCTGATCATCACACAACATAACCACTTTTTTTAGTAACCTCTACAAAATTTTAAGGGGAGATGGTGGCATAAGCCCTGTGGAACAGATCTTGCTTTATTTCCTCAATAACACTGGCCCAGTATCTGTCCAGCAGAACCCATTGTGAACTAGTACTAGTACAAGGTGCACAGCCCTTCACTGATTACAGGCAAGTGTTACAGCAGCCTAGCCATAAGGAAGGGGAGTTACATCATAGTACAAAATACAGTATAAAAGCGTTATTTAACATTCCACACTGAAGATTACGGATGCCTTCAAACAATCGTTTGGATGTTAGCCACTTAAACAAATACATCACTAAGGTAAACAATATAAACATACCAAAACCCTGTATGGTTAAATACAATTTCCATGGTACAAAAATCAAAGCCTGGAGATGTTTGTACAGATTGCTTTTTACACAATGTCTTAAATTGCCAAATATTTACAACATTAAAGAGGAAATACATTTTGATGCAGAGTAAAATTATCTGAAATGATTAATATAAAACCTCAATCTATCTACGTGAGGCACTCCTGAAGCAAGTGGCATTAGCCATGAGGTCCTTTGGTACAAGGCCCATTGCTTGAAGAACCACAGTAGCTGCTGTGGCTTTAGCATGCTTCTTATTAGGGCTGGCAAAGCTGGGCTGGTAAGCGCTTCCATTTATCAATACCTATTCAAGAAAAACATACAATTGGGCTGGTAAGGGCTTCCATTTCTCAATACCTATTCAAGAAAAACATACAATAAGAACAGCATCAAACTTTAATATCTATTAGCTTTGTATCTTTTTACTAAAAGCTAGAAAAATAACTTATAAAAATTTAAAACCCATCCTAAAAATCTCAACCCAGGAGCAAATCAGTTGGGTAAAGGGACTGCAAAAAACCTGATAAAAGTATGAATTTATTCCCCATTCCACTAGAACATAACATATTGCTCATCAGATTTTTGCCCACATCCTTCTCCAAAATTTTAGATCACATTAAAGCACACTACAGTGCCTTTGGTAAACCCCGCCACTCTATCCATACTTAACAGCCAACCCCCAGCCCACAATATATTCTATGACATAGATGCTTATGCCTCACCCTCTAATATTAAGTCAAATTAATACATAAGTAAGTGCAGAAATTCATATTTACCCTAAAGAGAAAATGTTTGCGATGATCAGGGCCACTATCATGGACCAAGAGAAATTCAGGTGGTTGCCACCTTCTTTTATTACAGATTTCCATTAAAGCAGACACCGGATGTTTGCCTGCAGAAACAAAATCATCAGTTATAAATTACTTCTACCATCTCGGGTGGCAAACTCAAGGTGTGAGTGGGTCAAGAAGAAAGTTTAACTATTCTCACCTGACAGATCTTTCATTGCAGCAGAGAAGTTACCAGACCTCTTTTGTGCTCTTTCCCCTACTGCAACAAGACCTTAAAGAAAGAAGGACAATGTTCACTGGGTAAATATCAAAGCATTTTCAATTATAATGTAGCACAACAAAAATACCAGTTTTGATTTCTGTACCTATTATGCTATATATTTGACACATACGTATTTCATATTCAAAAACTCCTTAATATTTATTTATACAAAAACTTAATATGAATATATAAACTCATAATTATCAACAATTCCAGTTCTATTTATGTTTAAAAAGTAATGGCTATCTACTGCTAGTAATTCCTAAAGACCTTCCATTTCATAGAAATGTTACACTCCCAAAAAGTAAGGATTTTTGACTACCAAAAAAAAAGGGAGAAAGACTGTCTCTAAAGATGAATGGGTTGGCTTTTTCCCCAGTAAACAAGCACGTCTATCCAAAAAAAAAAAAAAAGATTTCAAAAGACAAACATGACATCACTACATAACCTCCCTTTGCAAAGGGGTTTAGTAATATTTCCCTCCAACTTCCATTTAACCTAAAGGGAATTCTTCAACCAATCCTTTAATTCTTTTAGTATGCTTGTTACCAAGCCATGTTGCCCAATTCCAAACAGTATCTTACATGGAATTAAAGCATTGCACAATTATTTTCTTGTAATATTAACCATGTTTTAATTGTGACATAATCACACCACAAATTATTAGCACTAAATTAATTCCACATAATAGGGCAACTCTCCTGTTACTTCCAGTCTATATTTGTATATCATTTGAACAAATTCTTCCCAATCTGAACAACACAGCATTCTGTATGAATGACAATACAGAAAATCTGATGCAAAACATTTTAAAAAAACTTATTCGGTCAGTGTATTGGCTTACCAATTCATTAGGACAGGAAAACTTAACTATAATAATAACTTCAGGTTAACTTTATGTTTGAAATTGAACTCGGTGCGCCAGGAACACCATATGACTCTACTCAGACTCCAAGGAAAGAAATTACTTAAAAGCTACAGCAGGCTATAGATGGGTAGTAAGTACATACTAAACACTTAGCAACTGAACGGAAGCTACCCAGATTGAATATGAAAAGAGGAACATGCAAAATGGGTCTCTAAAGACAAAATACTCTTGGGAAATAGGAAAAATACTTGAAATAAATTATCTAAGAAAGGAAAAATAAATCCTAGAAATAAAACCAAACATGTTCCCTGTCAAGAGAAAACTCTTCCATTTTATAAATATTTTAATCGTGCAAATTTTCCTATTTCACAAGACCCAAGTTTCCTTCCAAAAGCTCAAATTATTGTCTGCATAAACTACTGGAAATGGGTTCAATATATTTCACTAACAGCTATAGGTATACAGAAGTATCTTCAATACAGGATTACTGACATCACACAACTTTTAGTAATGAAGCCCTAAATATTTATAGAAGCTCGACAAACATTCCAGAAAAACCTCTTACCTTTTCGGTCTGTCTTAAAATCAACTAAAATAGGCTCCTTATTTCCTTCTTTGTTTTTTCCTAATCCTTCTCCTTCTCTCCAACCCATTTTTCTCATCAAAACGGCTCCCATTCCTCCAGTTACCGGGGCTGCTCTTAAAAACTGATCCTATCCAAGAAAGAAAGGTAAAAGATCCCCATTTTACAATTAGAATTTGACCACAAACTCAGTGTTAATGTTGAAAAAAAAATCTTATTTTAACTTCTAAATCTGTGTTAATTATTATTACAGTTAAATTTAAATGCTATACATATATACATACTGTACTGTGTGTGTTCTGGTTATTTTCGCATTAACAAAAGTCGAATAAAGGCAGTTTTAAAACAGTAGCCCTCATACCCCCCCTCCAAAAATAAAAAATTAGAACACTCCTGTTTTCGTCCACTATTTAGGTTCACTGGTATCTCTTCTTAGCTTGCAAAATAAAAAGAAGGCAATGTTAAAACAGTCAATAATAATGTCCCAGGTGTACCTAGTTTCATGAATAAAGCCCGGAAATCATTTAGAAATAGTTTGAACACTGAAGCAGCATAATGTTATCACCCAGTTTTCTTCCCCATTCTGCCATAAAGTATACTTTACTAAGAAAATCCCTATGAAGCAAAAAAGATAACTCTAAAATAAAGTTACACAAGAATTAATGGAAGACAACCACACAAAAATGCCCTGTAATTATACCAAACTGAACTTGAATTCTTTTAAAACCTAGCTTGTTGTTAAAAGACTTTTAAAAAACTCCTTAAATGTTTACATACCTAGGCCTCGGTAGCAGCAGTGTTGTGAATAGTAGGGCTGGCACTGACCGGGGCAAGAAGACAGCTACAAGGATTTGGCCCTGAAACAAGTTTCCATACAGAGGGGTGAAAGTTCACAGGTTATTCTGTGAACAGTCATCTCTCTTGTATCCAACCCACTGAACCATAATTTCCATCAAAGCAGCAAACCACTTAATGTCGTTAAGATGCACAGCTACATAGATGAGCACAAGTCTCAACAGTCTCGTCATTTTACACTTTCTGGTACAGGATCCCTCTGCAAAGGGCATCCATATATGTAACTATTGCATTCTACTGATGATCTTTATGGCTGGTTTGTTTTTTTGTTTTTTTAATTGTATCATCTCCAAATCATGCTTTATTTTCCTTTGTCGTTAAAATTTTAGATTTACACTCTCTGGTAGATATATAGCAAAATTCATTAACTTATCAATAGGAAGAGAGTCAAACATTTTGGTAGCTTCTGAGTAGTATGCATTAATTTCCTGTATTGATAAGTTAATGTTGAATTATTTGAATCTTGTTCTTCCATAGTAGTAAAGTGTATAATCTTATTTCCCAGTTTTTTAATTATATACTGGGGAGAAAACAAGCCAATAATGTGTGGCCAGACATTAAGTTCACCAAGGTGCTCTGATGGAAGGAGGCAGCTGTGGAGGTAAAAACATACCCCTGGTTCAGTTCCTTTTTTTGGTGCAGGCCATGCAGTGTAGATGTATATAAAGAGAAAAGTTAGCTGATGCTTGGGTATCAACTGCCTTGATGCTACACACCTAGGATGACTTTTACTTACTTCCAGGTTCATCCGCCCCTCTTTTCCAGGCAACACTCCTAAAAAAAAGGGCAACTGTGCAGAGTACAATACAAATCCTCAAATAACCCAGGTGTCCAACTTTTGTTTACATTTTCTAGCATCTCCATCTGTTTCTTCACCCCAATGTGTATACAGTTCACCAAAAAAGCTAACAAATTTACAACAGTGAACAATATTTATCAGGTCATATCCAAGTCATTTCATTTTAGAAAATAAAGATCCTTTTAAATTAACCATTTAAAAATGTTTTTCTGACAAAAGATATAGTCTCATCTGAGAATATACTACACAAGCTAAAATGAATATGGAGAATGCTGGCATTCCATGTGATCTTTAATATATGAAGGGGATGTTGGGCTACTTATGATCATTGTTAAGTTTTCTAAACACAGGGAGATTTGTGAGACTTAACAATGAAATACTCAGTTTTCAGTTGCCAAATGACTTTTCCATATGCTCATTTTTGTAATAACATGTTCCTTCCTTAATCGGTAATATTCTTTCCTAATTCCACAAATAGAAGTTTTCCTGAAAGCACTGCCTTCTTTTGTAATTATTTTAAGATTTGATCTGGTGAACATAACTTTCTCTCATAGTATAAAAAATTATTTACATTTAAAACGTGAACTTGGAAATCTATGCTTCTAAGACTGACTTTAAAAAAAGTTTACAGGGACACTATTATATCACTGAGAGATTTGTTTTGTGTTTTTAGTTTGAAAAAGGTGTTATGGACCAGCACTTACAGAAATGAAAACCAAAGCTGTGTAAGAAAATCCTCTTCAAATAACCCACAAATTCCCATCTAATAATCAACATGACTAGTTATGCCTAAACACCCATAAAGTTTCAAGTCTAAAATCCCTGGTGGAGTATTCCCTCAATTTCTAAACAGTATTAAAAGGCATTAAAGTATTAAATTTGTTAAATCAATTTTACACTGATATTTCTTCCAAAGGATGCAAGCCATTTTTTTTAAATACATGAATTCATTTTCATAAGCTAAGTGCTGTAATGTAAATTAGTAAAAAATTATTGCAAACCTTAAAATATTTTCCTACATTTTCATCCACTTACTCAGCAACACCCTTAGCAAATAACATATTGTTTACTTTTGATGAACTTGGCCATGTATTTATATACACATAATTAGTACAACTATTTCCAAAACCCAAGTGGCAACAAGCAAAGTGAGAATATAGCTTTATATTAATTTGTTAATAAGACGGTTACCAGAAGGAATGCCATCAGAACTGAAATAAATGTTATGAGATTAAAAGGTCCAAAGCAACTAATGTGTCTCATTTTTCACAAATTCTATTCAATCACTGGCACTTGTGGCAATTCTCTACAAATACCAATCAAATGACTGCCAACCTGTAAGGCAGTAATAAGAACATGTCTCCGTAAGACACCCAGAGACTAAAATTCCAAGTAATTACTTGCCCATCGCAAAAGGAGTCAGGAGCACAGCAGGACAAAGAAACCTTCCCAAATCCACTAGACCACGCAGCCTCCCAGTGTCCGCACTGCTATGCTGCCAGCACTCCTGAAACAAATTCCCCATCACCCACCCAACCAAGGCACATTCCATTCCTTCACCAGAATGTATTCTTCAGAAAGCCCTTCTTAACCACCTAAGACTCCCCCAACAATGAGGCAGTCGTAGGTGGAGTTCACAGGTTATCACTGCAGGGATCTGAAACCAGGTGCACCTATATCTTCACAGCTCAAGTCGTCCATCCTCTCACTTGAATTTAGGTCTTACATAACCTAGTTTTTCATGAAGTCAGTGGTTCTCAAATTGAGCCTGTGGATCACCAGAGGCCACCAGGGCCTGAATGGTGGTCCACAGATAGTATTTTCCATTCCCAACCCACCCATGTCACCACCCCCAACCTGTGCCCCTGCAGTCCTCCCCCCCAGCCTTGCAGTCCGTACACGGCAAGATCACCACATGCAGGGCTAATACTGGGGTTGCCCAACAACGCGCTGTAACCACAGCTGACAAGCACAGGGAACCTGAGGCTGAAGATGACAGGAGGGATGGGGAATGGGGCCTAGGGAGCTTGAAGGAGGGCACAGGCACTAAGGAAGGGGAAAGGGCAGAGGAATGGAAAATTAGGGTAGTAAAGGGCTCTGGGATCAGTGATCCACCAAAAATAAACCTGTAATAAAGCATCCCATGAGAAAATATTTGAGAACCACTGCTTTGAAATCATTAGATTAGTAGTTCAACTGGAGTTGTGGCATGTTCTGAACAGCACCTGGATTCTGTTAACATCCAAAACACATTTTAAAAAGACCACCCCCACAAAAACAAGCAACAAAAATAACTCAGGATATAACTGACTGGCTCTTGAGCCATATTTCTATGTTTGCATTGTCTCATGAATCAGGTCCATCTTCAGGGTCCATCCTGGGGTATATACACACAGCAAATTTACTCAAAACTGATTAGAAGTTCTTAGTGCATTTTAATAAAACATTTTCTAAAAAATTTTCACTTAAGATAATTTTGTATGTGCATATGTGGGTACCTTTTTAATCCAGGCTTGGGCACCAGTATTGGCCAACTGTTCTTGTGTCAGAACCTGTACTCCTGTACTTCCTGTGAACTGGCCAGGGATAGAGTTCAACTGAGCCCAGGCATCAATCTGAGGGGGAAAAAAAAAAAAGTTCAGGACTAACTACAACTAAAATTACTTATCTAGTTAAAACTAAAATTACTTATCTAGTTAATACCACTGGTATTAACAATTTAATGAACTCAATGTAGTGGGGTTTATCTAGTTCTGAAAAGGCTGAATAGTAAACTTAAATATTAAACTTTTAATATATTACATTTATAAATTTTATTTTCCTAAACATTCCTAAGTTTGACATTCAGCAGGTTCAACTAACAAGACCTTAAATATATCTCTTAACAACGGAAAAGCATAATTATAAAATTCATTCTTTAAAGTATCACACCATCCATTAAATCTACAAAACAGAGTTCATAAAGCAAAGGAAGCCCACCAACTTGTAAAGCAGGGAGAAGACTCAAAAGCCTTGAAAAGTGTCTCATATAACTGCATCCTAATAAATGCTATGACTATGATTAGTAATTAGTTTTTAATCACTTCTTGAGATATTATAAACCCAGAGTAACAAAACAGCAAATTGTTCAAATACATAAAGCAGCTTTCCTTAAAAACAAAAAAGCACACCACCATCAATCACCATCATTGACTGTGACCGTTAAATGTCAAATGTCAAAGAGTTTTATACATCAAATCACAAATTATTACAGGGGCAGGAAATGTTCTTTCGAGAAACAGTTCGAGAAACAGTTCCTGCCACCCAAGACACACAAATCATTTAATGAATGAAATAAGACCCAAATCACTTTTATTTAATAACATTAGCTAGTTCAGTTACTTCTTTAAGTGCCTAAATTTCAGTAATATGTCACAGACTTCAATATGTCACAACCATGCAGTTAGTGAAAATTTCACTTAAAATTGCAACATACCCGTTCCTGAGCTCGATTTAACATGCTCATGGCTTCAAGGTCAAATGCATTCTCACTGAGTCTTTTCTGAGCAAGTGCCCGCTCACTCATTGCTGTAGAGATGTCCACAGGCTAAGAAAGAAAACATAGATAATTATCTCAAATTACAATAGAAACCCTAAATCCCAGAATGTACTCTTCCATTGCTACATATCAAAAACAAAGTGAAGGTTGTATTAATCTTGTGGAGAGAAAACTCAGAAAGGTTAACCTTGAAAAGTAGGTAAGGATTAAGGTAAATCATAAGTTTCGAAAGACAGTAAAGTATGACCCACAATCTATTTCCTACTGTATAAAATTATAACCATAGAAAGTTCCTCTGAGAAGTTAAATATATTCTAGCCTTCACTAATGAAATCATCAACAGTTAACTGGTATGTTTTTTCAAATATCTTGACTATTAATTTTATATACTTAGCAGTTTTCCTTATCTAAATTAACATAACCTTCCAAATCATTATGGTTCTTGTTTAAGCAAGCAGAAATTTTTTCTTCTTTTGGCATTCACTGGTCTAGTTTGATCTTAAAAACTCCAATCTCTTCTATTAATAAATGCACTATTTAAATGCATCTTCAGTTTATATATATATATTAATTTAAGGTACTCTTTAGGGCAAACTCCCTGTCAGACTTTTGAAGGTTCAATCATAAAGGAAAACTGATCAAGTAAGTATTTGATGTTTTTATTTTAAAATTTAAGAGGTCTGGCTGGTTTTTATGAATTCACCAATTCTTACGTTTTTCTTGTAATGACTTTAAGTCTTAGGATTTCTAGTTATTTACCCAAGGAAAATTCATTCTCGGTTTTTACTTTATTCACAGTGATTAATAGATACTGCATGGACATGTAAGTAGTACAGTACAAGTTAACTTGGATTTTTCTTAAAAGCTAAGAGTGCAATATAACTATGTACTTGAAATAACTTCCTTGAGAAAGTTTATCTTTTATGTAAGGATTACTAATCTTCCTTATCTTCACGGTATCACTGTTAACTTGCTGAATCACCTACTAATAATTTCTTTAGCTAAATACTTTCTTCCGTATTTCCTTATATACTGCTTCTTAAAATGAAGGGAAAATAAACTCAATTCACTCTGTAATTTCATTAGAATGTTTATAGATCTTATAAAATGAAAACTTTTCATTTTTATGCAACTTAATAAACTATGCATGCTAATTAGAACATTTTTGGAGTATAGCTAAGTTAGATTCAAAGCACTAAAAAAACTTAACTATATTCAATGTTGACTTTAAATTCTTAGTTTTCTTGAATGCTAGAAATTTAAACAGACCCAGATATTTAGGGTTGAAATTTCCATTCCTTGAGCTTACAACAGATGTTTCCTGAAACCATCAGATAGGATTGCAGATATAATTTCTGAAGACCTACCAAACCTCAATTTTAACCTTGCCAAAATTACTCCAAGTTTCATAACAATCTATAAATTTAAGAGTAGTTAGGTAAAATAACTTATTCTGAAAAGTCTAAACTCAAAAGGAGATATTATGAGTAAGCCAACTCTTCTACAATAAAATTGTCCCAAGTGTAAAGCAAATGAATACACCTACATCATTCTTTGAAGACATTTTGTATTTTCATATTTTTTACTCTTTAAGCCTTCACTTTAAGCAGATAACTGAAATGCCTCATCATGTATTCCCAATATGAAAGTTCATTCCAATTTTAACTTATATTGTATCTTAAATTCACATCTCACTCCAAAATGAATTTTGATATAGTTGGCAACCTTGATATAGACTTTTTACCTAAAACTACAACTGTTTTTCCTGTGGTAAAATACAACTTCAAGTATTCTCCAGCCGACTTACCAAGTAAGATGCAAGTTCATGTCAGAACTGTATTACCAAATAGAAACATGTGACCTAATTTCATATTCATATTTCTTTCTTAAACCTGAATATACTCAAAATAAAATCAGGATTATCTTAACCTCTTAAGTATCCTCAGGTTTGCATCAGAAAGCATTTTGCCAACTTCTCATGAAAACTCAGGATGTGAAATGTGTAAGTCATCAACTATAATCCCCAGAACAATTAAGGACTAAACCAAATGTTACTTATTAGTAAAACTCAAATTATCACAGCTAACCCTTCAGAGGTAACACAGCACCTGTTCAGTACAATTTTCTTTAGTGACAGCTTAATGAGTGCTTGAAAAATGCCTAGTGCAATTAAGGAGCTGATTTTTCAATAGTTAGTAACTACTGTATCGGACTATGGAATGTATATACATTTAACACCTATTAGACCATTCTATATAGTGGAGCTCTTATGTGAAAGTTATCAATAACACTGAAACGTCCTAAAAAAATGGAAAAATGAAAATCGCATCAACATGTCAACTGCATACACAAATGTACTATAGACTATTTAGCTAATGTATCAAGTTTAATTATGACTGCCAGTAACATTCTAACGACCAAGTAGGGGGAATTTTTAATTTCCTTTCCCCTTGGATTTGTCATAAAAGGTGAATCTAAACAAAAGTATCTTGAATTTTAATTCCAGTCATAATTAATAATAAGACTAGCCAAGTTATTTCAAATCTCTACTTCAGCAAGACTACTTCCCTGAATAACCTAGAAAGATGTCAGGGATAATGAAATACATAAATCAGTGGACAACATGTAACATATATTCCGTAACGCAAGTTATCAGTGTTTTATCTGTGTATTTCTCATTCAAAAAAAATCCTAAACAATTTGCATCCCCCTTTTAATGATACCAACTGTTTGCCTATTTAGAACAAGTAGTATTTCTTAAAAAGCTAATAAAATAATTTTTAAAGAGTTGGAGAGAATTGTTAGATGGGGGGTCATTCAAGATAAAGCCCCTATAACATAGAAATTCTTTCTACATAGGTAACTGCAGACACCCTAAAAGATAAAATTTTTTAGTTTAAGTTTGAGCTGTACATAAAACATTTAAAACCACACAGAAAAGTGATATCTACAAAATCAAAACAATACAGAATGCTGTGTTTACTTTTTAAAAGTGATGATTAATCATTTAATTTGTAAAATTATCTAGAGCAACTATTAGTTAACTTACTATACATTTAGTCTAAATGTAACAGTGAAATAAAAGTATAATAGTAAAATAAAATGGATAACCTATTAAAACTGTCAATAAAATTCAGTGCTAATCACCTTGGAGAATCTAAGAATAATTAACAATATTTATATGTAACAAATTCTAGCACTGCCAGACCCTATTGTGTTTAATTTCCAATCAAAAATTTTATCTTTCCCTGAGGACTTAGTCTTCCTAAGCTTCATAAATTTAGAACTTTTTAAGAGAATTTATTTCCATGGACATGTGGACAGATTTTCAATAATAGAAACCAAGCGCACTGCCGGAGACAAAAATCATCTTTACATGTAAGCAAATCCCCTCACACAAGACCTTAATGGAGGTCTTTCTGAACATCTAAATAAAACATTTATAACAGAGTTAAACCCATGGAAATCTTATGAAAAAGATTACACTTAAATCTTCCACCCAATATGCTTTTGCTAACTTTATTACCAAGAATGAATGACCCCAAACAACTTTTAAACTTTAGTTTTCCAGCATTCTTAAGTCACATTCACAGAAACATGGTCAAAATTCTGCAGTCACTTCTTTCTTACTGAGGACGCTGCTGCCTGGTTGCTGTGTAGGAAGACGATGCTATGACAGTAAGGCACAGTCTGACGAGTTGGTATTCCATTTATGTTCACCCATCCATGTCTATCCCCTCATGCTTATGTCAGTTAACACTCATGTATAAGAAAACTGTTGGTATTAAGAATTATTATCAAAGCTAATTTGGTTCTTAGAGACACCAAATCTGTGATCTTTGTGTTTCATAAAATAATTACAAATTCCATTAAAAAAAAAAGACTGATAGGTCAAAAAATACTTTCCTTTTATTCTAGAAAGCCTTTATTTCACAACCCCTTACAGGGAATTACGAGGGTCAATACACCCACATTTTCACCAATAGTGATCCACAAACACTGGTTTAGAGAACATTCAGTAAGTATTCAACTACATTTTACATTGTGAACATTTAATTCTAAGTGTCTTAATAATATTGGTAGATTAAAAAGTACAGAGATGTGAAAGTAAAAAACTCTTGGATTATTTTGTTTAGAATTAAAATTAACCTATATATCTTGTGAATCTAATCATCTAAAAAACTGGAGATTGGACATCAAATAGTTGTATATTCCAAGGGAGACACCTAGTTCATGTGGTGTTCTGAATTTTTTTTTTTCTCCTGCTTTAATAAAAACCTTTTTTTTTTTTTTTAAATTCAAGTACTAACCTTACCCCTGCAATTTCTTTGGAATAATTCCAACTTTTAATTAAAACGTGACAACCATTTTTGATGCAAACAAGGCTGAAGACCAGTGTTACGAATTAAAATGTCTGAATTTTAAATACATAAAACTTTCAATCAAAAAGTATAATCAGGAGTCACTAAGCATTTTCTGCATTTTCAGCTAAAAATAGCTATGGCCACTTCTCAGGAAAACTCCTTTGAAGTTTGTAATTGGGTTCCACTCCACTGGAAAATTTTTCTCATATAAAGACTGTCCCTGTGTCTTGTTCCAACCCTTTGTTGAACTTCTATACTGAAAGAAATTACTAAAAGTATATGTATCAGAACTTCTTAGTTTTGTTCAATTCTCACTGTTTTATAATCAACTACCTGAAAATTTCAGTGGCAAATGTCAATTTAAGCTCTTGAAATGTGCAGAAAGACTGATTTAGGGAATAGCAGCTGAGCTAATCATTTCTAATATACTGGCCAAACCAGCTCTTCCCCCCACCACCCCACCCCCACCCCACTGGTGATGGTATAATTTGCTTCAATTGTTGAACCCCCAGGAATTACAGATCACTACCATGTCTGTAAATTGTACTGCCTGTTACCATGTCCAGCTTCATTATACAAAATGTGCTCCCTTTTAAAATACCGTGCAGGTCACCAAAATAATAATAATAAAAGTGAAAATGTTGCCCATGAATAGCTTAGGGGGAGTGAGGGAAAGCTATCAACAGTTTTCTGATTTGGGTTCTGTTCACTTTCTGATTTTATAACAGGATTTGTTATATTGAAGGTGTTAAGTGGACGATGACTTGGCCAATGAAAGGAACCTGAAGGTGAAGAACACAGGTCTCTCTGACCTAAATATCCCAGAACTACAAGAAAAGTGAGAAAGAAGGCCCCACGTCGCTAGGGTAGCTATTATCTAGTCCAGACCTTGGACAAATATCTGGGATTTGGAAACCAAGGGCAAGAGGTGATCACTAGTCTATGATATCATTAAAACTCCCACCCCCCCTAGTAGTCTCCACCCTCCCAGATCCCCCAAGCGTGATTTTGCACAACAAGTTAAATAAAAGTAAACTGTTTATTAAAAGATACAGCAAAGGTACAGATACAGAGATACATACAAAGATACAGATATATATATATATTTACATATATATACAGTCTTGCTGTTTTCATGTGCACTGTATTTAGCAGCACATTACTTAATCAGGCGGCATTTTAATGGGGTTGTTGTGACACTTGGTGTTATTACTGCGTCATTTTGACAAGATACAACTATAGCCACTTGGAAATTTCAAAGTGTAAATTCCACTTCTCCACTTTTAACAGTAGCAAAAAGGGGAAGGAGAAGGGAAATGGAGTACCAAGGCTGAACATTAGGTTAAACACAAGAATTCAAAAGGGCCAAGGTAGCACAGAGAAGGGGAAATTATTAAAATTGATTGCTATCTGACAAACAACCCAGTATATAATTTAAAAAAAAAAAAAAAAAGCATTTGAGGGCAACCGGCTATGTATCCAAGGTGCTCACAACAGCCTACATGACCTCTTGCAATCCAGTTCTTGTGTTGAACCTGAGGATCTGCCTCTCTCCACTCAATCCCTCCACCCGGTAATTTTGCTACCACCAAAATCTAGAGCTATAGAGCCTTGAAGCAAGACGTGATGCTAAATAGTTGTACCTTGGGCTACCTTCCCACAAGTGCAAGGAGGGCCCAATGTCGGGTAGGGATGTGATAACACTTTTCTCTGCAATTCGATGCTTTTCACTTTGTGGCTTGGTTCCACAAAGTGAATTGCATCGAGTTACTGTCAAATGAGAAGCTGCGGGTTGTTTCATCTGTCGTCTAACCCGGCCCTGCCGTTTAACCCGGCCCTAAGAAGAGTGAAACAGAATCCAAATCAGATATAAAATAACAATAAAATGGCAGATTCAGGTATAAAAAAGGAGAAATACATAATAGACCTCTTACTTACCTCAGAGGGCAAATTGCTGCTGAAAACATTATCATCATCTTTGTTTTCTTCACCATTTTTCTCCACAGGAACCCACTCTCCATAAACACTATCTGCTTCTTTTTTCCGATGCTGAGATCCAGATGACACAGGAAATTCTTTTGTTAATGTCACCTGGCTTTTTGGTGGAGTAGGCTTTGCTGCAGCAATCTAAAAAATAGTTTTAATTAAAAATCAGTATTTTAATCAGTATTTTAATAACCTGAAATAATTTATTCTCACAGTACTTATTCCAAAATTAAACTAAATTCCATTTGAATTCTGTTTAAACAGTTTCCGTAAGTTGTGCTGTGTCTATCAATCCATAAATACTGATACTCACATTCAGATTGAAAAAAATGGGTTTGGGTTCACTGAGCTTAAAGGGATGATGGTAAAAAGGAGGTTCTTCATCCTCTTCATCCGAGACATGAGGCTTGTTCACTATAACATCATCATCTTCTTTACTTTGTGCGATCTGTTTACATTTCTTAAAAAGTAAAAACAAAAGATAAATCTTACACTTTATGTAGAATAACAATTTCTTGAAAGAAGGAAAAAAAAAACCTAACATTGTTTTCAAAAGTAAAATGTGATTAATGATAAATAGGTTAACTGAGCTTATTAGCTACTATTTAAACACACTAACTGGTCAGTCAACAACATTTATTGAGCACCTACTATGTGCAGAGCACTGTACTGGGCACTGTCCAGGAAATACAAAAAAAAAAAAAAAAAAAAAGTAGAAGACATGGTCCCTGCTCCCAAGGAGCTTACAATCTAGTTCAAGAGACGGAATTCATACACGTGAAATTTTTGAAGAACGCTTTTACAGAGCAACACAATTAACAAGTGCAAACTGATATAATACAAACTGAATACATAAGTGCTGAGGGAACAAAAGCTTAAGACAGAATAGAATCAGGCAGAATCTAATAATCAAGGGACAGTCCTTCAAGAGTTCTAAGCCAGATTTTCATGGTTAAGGACAAAGAAAGGGGAGAAAAAGCCACCCTAATCAAGTGGTGGTAAAAAGGTTGAAAAGAAACTTAGTGTAAGGGGTAAAAAGGACTAAAGAGAAAAGCTAAGAACATACAGGAAAACACTAAGTGTTCACAAAGTTTTTTTTAAGATAAGGAGCTTGGATTTGATAAGTGAGCAAGTAGAAGTCTTTAGTAGGTCCTTTAATTTTAAGAGAAGTTGCAATTCATACTATAATAAGTCTAAATGAAGAAACAGATTAAGAAGCTATGTGATACCAAAATATATGGCAAAATAAAAGATATCAAACATTTGTAATTGGGTTAGTAACATGTCTCTCCATAAATGTTTTGCAGTTTAAGTCTTTAAAGGAACAGATCTCAAGAATGGAAAATAAGGCATGATGGAGAGGGTGCAACTGATGAGGTCTGACACATAAAGCAAAATCAATTCCTTCTTGAGAAGCAAAGGAACAGACTCCATTACCTGGCTTTATAAAAGGTCAGAATAAATCTGGGTAGGACTTGCCTCTATACAAGCAATAGAATTTGCCACATCCATTATCAATTGAAAATATTACAACAGGATAAAAAGCTCATTTTGCCAAAAACACAGAGTTTATCAAGCTTGTAATCAAGGGGGAAGAGAATATATTGACAATTGCAGGCTGGCATAAGGCTAGCCAGTAGTAACAAGTTTCAATATACGAAACATTGTGTTATTTCTGGATCCTAGCAGCAATATTTCAGCATCCACCAACCCCCCCAAAATAATAATAAAACAAAGCGAAGAAAAGCCTTAATTGAAAAGATCAATTTTTTTTTTTTTAAAACAAGTGTGTTTAAAATATGTTACTGCCAAAACCCGAACCGCAGGAAGAACTGATAATGGCCGGCCATTATCACCAATGGCTGGTACCAAACAGCCAAAACCCGAAATGTTGATGCGAAAGAAGTTCCTTTCAGGCAATGGCCAGCTATTCTCATTAATTTCCAAGCTCCGGTGGCAAAAGATCATTTCTGAAGATTGTCTGTGTCTTTGCGTATATGCAGTACACTCGTGGCGATCAGTGAACACGTCGTGAATGGAAACGAAACTGTAGGCGAGCTTCTGCGTGTTGCTCACTCAACACCTCCTCCATTCAAACGAACCGTCCCACTCCTCAGTCAGTTTGGCTTCTAAAACTGGAAAGCAAAAGTAATGGGAAGTAACTTTTAGCTAGCGGAGCTTAGCCATCCCGGATAATGGCCTGCTAAACAGAGCTTCTGCCGCTGCCACATCTGTATTTCGGGTTTTGGCCACTCGGTGCCAGCCATTATCAGTTCAGCCCACAATTCGGGTTTTGGCACGCTCCAGAGTCAACATATCTGGAATAACCATTTAAAAATGAAAACAATTCTGTCTCGCTTACCTCTGTTAGTTCTTCTATTGTAGCTCCTCCTGACTTTTTAGCAGCTTTTTCTTCCATTGAAGGTGGAGGTGCAGGCTTTAGGTTTGGTGGTAAAGGAACACCAGCCTTAGCACACATGGCAGCTGCATTAGCTTTGGCTATTTCAAGTAACTGAGCCTTATCTGTAAAAGGAAGAAAATGAACAGTTTTGCTAACGGGCTGAACATTCTGTTTTATATACTAATAAAATGAAAGTTATCAATTTTCTGGTCAAGTCACAACTATGAATACAATCAATTTTCAAATTTTTTAAGTAGATGCCCACCATTTAAATTATGTCAATGTTCAACTTTCCATTCAATTACACAAAATGGCTACATTTAACAACTATAATAACCATTTTGCCAAAGTTTAAGACATATATCTGCCAAAGTCCACTTTATTTCCCAAAATCTCCAAGTCCTTAAATTACTTTCATTCTAATCTGACAATTTTTAAATCATTACAAAACCACATCCTAGTGCCAACTCTTCTAACAACCTTTATGAGAGAATTTAACATCCCTCCCCACTGTGCTCCCTGAACACCTTCCCTATACCACAGTACTTGGGACAATCATCACATTCTGCCCATTTTTGGGCAATTTTACTATTTGGTCGAAGAAGGAACATACTGATATGACTCCTACTGATTTATAATCACTTAGGAATTAAGTACTTTCCCCTATTTTGAAGAAAAAACAAACTCAGACATCTTTTGTTGAACTGAAAGCTATCTCCACTGTTCTCACAGGATCTTTCAACAACCCAATCTGCAAATATCAAATCCACGGGTAAGTTATCTATTACCATTGCTGGTATTTCTGCATTAGTTATTCATCAGTTTGAATCATTTCTATATGCCCTTAGAAAGCAAAATATAGAATTCTTTAAAGATTATTAAAATCACTCCAATCTAAGAAGTTTCTCTTACTTTGCTAATGATCTCCCCCCTTAAATATGCAAAATTGCCTGTTCACCTCCATTTCCTGTTGCACACAATGAACTACCTTCACAAACATTTGACAGCGCTACACTGCCATTTTAACATGTTTAGCCTATTAAAACAAACTCAGTTTGTTACTCTGCCTTTAAATTGGACTTACTTTTCTTTCTTATGGCAAGATGGTTTGCACAAAATAAGACAACATCTAAGTATTAGAAACTTTGTTTCTAACATACTCGGGAAGCAAATCTTTTTAACTCTAATTACAAAGGAACTTATCCCCACTGTTAATACAAGCTGAATACAAAAAGAGGATCTATCCTGAAGAAATAAACCAAAATACACCAACTGACGAAAACAATCAGGAAAAAAATAGGTTTAGATCAATAGTAATTTACAATACTATTATTAAATTTTAAAAAACTCACCCAAGTCTGTCAGGCGTTTAGGTGATCTGCCTCTTTCAGAAGACCTGGATCGCTTACGGCGGACAGGGGATCTACTAAACCTTCTCCTCAAGGGTGTCCGCGATCGTCTTAATCTCACAGGTGATATACTAAAGCTCCGTCTTCTTACAACAGATCTTGATCTTCTCCGACGACTAGGGGTGCGGCTCCTTCGGCTGGGGGTGCGGCTCCTTCGGCTGGGGG